CTTCTGGATGATGCCCACGCACGGGGTGCATGCGCGCTGAAGGCCGCCCTCGCCGTCCACCTGTGGGGAGGGGGCTGAGAATCCAGCTCTGCACAGAAGAGTGCGGGAAACGAGGGAGAAGCAACGCATGTAGAAGAGGGGGGGCAGACAGACGGTAGTGATAGGATCGGCCGAGAGAAAGGGGGCAGGAAACGGAACGGCGGAGCCGGCAGGGTGCAAATCGAACAATAGGAACGGGAAAGGGGGGGAGTGTGCGGACGAGAAAGAGAGGAGGGGAGATGAGCTGACGACGCGGGCGAAGCACCCCCGTGGCATACCCGAAATGAGGAATGGGGGGAAGAGGAGGAGGAGGAGGAGGAGGAGGAGGAGGAGGAGGAGGAGGAGTAGCACTGGCCGAAGAAGAGAGAGCGGACAAGACGCGAGCAAGGGAAAATACAGGGCGGACACGAGGCGAAGGAGGAGGAGGAGGAGGAGGAGGAGGAGGAGGAGCAAGCGGAGGAGGCGGAGAAAAGGCGAAACGAGAGGGCAATGCGATCCGAGATATTGAACAAAAAAATGTACTTTTTGATTTCCTCCCAGACCGGCTGTTCATCGAAACAGTGCGGGGGCGTTGGAACTGAAGTTCGCCTGGCAGCATCTGCAATGAGAGGGGATAGATTAGGGGCGTAACCACACAAATATGTTTACCAAAAGGTTGACTGCCTGCCAAGCCGACTGCTGACTGACTAACTGGCTCGCTCAAGCCATTCAAATACTGGTTCATCCGTGGGCGATGCTGCTACCCGGTTGGCAGTAGCAGTCGAGGGGTGAAGTTCTTTCGGCCGCTGTCATCAGCTGTTGCGGGGCATGGTGGGCTCTTGATCGAGGACCAAAACGATTGGCTGGCAACTCCACCTGAGGTGCGAGAAATCGTGAGAGAGCCGTTTCGAACGCGCATGACTTGGAACATTCCCCAACGGAGTCTCGAACCTGAGGGACCCCCACCACACGAAAACAAAATCAAAGGCCCCCTCCGAAACTTGGGGTTTTCCCAAACCCTCCCCCCCAACTCGCTGCCGGCAAATATCGGCACACGACGACGACGCCGCATCTGCAACCTCACAAATCAAGCTAAAAGGCGAACATGTCTCGATTACAACTTTCATCCGTGGGTGAGAAATATGGCAGCTTAGTCGTAAGGCGAGGATCTGTTTCTACGATGCTTGCGACCTGCCTTATGCTTTAGCGTCCGAGGCTGGGAAAATACGCAGGTTGCTTGCATAACCAACGCCAGCGCTACCTGGACAACCGCGCTTCAGAGGCAGAATGTGCTGTGGCTCCGATACTTGACACTGTCCAGGCACGCACCAGTCCCCAGCAACGCAATCCCCAGGGGCCATGAGAACGTGATGGGAATATTCACCCTGGAAATATCGCACCTGTAGTCGCAGGGCGCAGATAGCTGGTTGACATGCTAACCCGAAAAGTAACTGTACTTCGATGGCAGTGTTCCCTACGGGGTGCCAAGTTTAACGATCGGGTGGGGATGCATGGCTGTGAGTCTTGGCAGATGGGTACGGGTTCTCTAAGCGCCGTCTGGTCCGTGGATGTGTCGTGGCCACTCTGGCTTGGACGGCATGTTTAGCTGGCGGGTGAGGATGTGACACTGGCATTGGATGCGCGAGTTGGCCGCGGTGAATATGGTTGATTGGCTCTTTTGCTGAGGTGTGAGGGTAGTAATTGTTTCCTCGCGTGGCATGTCTACCTGTGGATAAGGGGTACGACAGTATTAGCCGCGCTGAGGGCATTATGATGGCATTCGCTCAAGGGTGAAAACATGTAGATGATACTTCTGTCCACGCTTGGCAACTTGCTCTACAATAGGACGCGACCCCCCCAACCGCCAAGGCGAATGCTTGGCACAAGGGCCAGGGCGGACTATGTGTCAAGATTGCCCAAAAAGAAGAAAGTGTCGCAAACTGTGTGCGAGGGAGGCGAGGGGGTACGATCGCAATGAAACGGAAAGACCCCCACAGGGAATTCGGTTTCGGTTTCGTTTTCGTGCCGTGCGTGCAGGCGAAGCGAAGGCGATCGAGAGGAATGAGCCCTCCTCTGGCTAGGGTGCCGTCGGGCCAACAGATCGCCCCCCCCCCACCCCAATAGTCTTTCCAGCGGTGGCCAGGTGTCCTGCGGGTGTCCCGTCGGTGTTCCGTAGTGAGATCGATAGTGCAATCGAAAGCGAAAGCGAAAGCGCGCTGTGTCCGGCCGAATCGCAAGGGGTGGAGCGCAGGGGCCGCAGTCCTCACATGATCTTGCCTCCTCCACGTCGTCCCAATTTCCGGGGAAATCCAGCCACGATTCCTGAATCCTTCGTTCGTAAGAAAATGCTGAATAACCTCTGGCCACCGGCTTTTGGGTCTACCCTGTGATCTAGCCAAAGTCCACTTTGCCGTGTGCTGCGGCTCCCAATCAATAGCAACTCGCGCCCACCTTTCCCTGTCCAGCTCTCGCACACGTTTTGCCCACTTCCATTTCGATCTTCGTTATGCGACTGTCCACCAATCAAACTGCAGGTTATCCATTGTCGTCTCGGCTGCGTGCGTTGCCCGCTTTGTCCGACCCACCCAAGGCTTGACTCTCCATCTGCAGTGCGGCGCCTTCGGTGCCCGATAATGAAATCGATAGTGAGATCTCCAGTGATATCGAAAATCAGATCGACAGTGAGATCGATAGTTAAATCGATAGTGTGTTCGATAGTGATATCAATAGTTTAATCGATAGTGATATCGATCGAGTGAGATCGATAGTGGATCGATAGTGGGATCGATAGTGAGATCGATACGGAGATCGATAGTGAGATCGATAGCGAGATCGATAGTAAGATCGATAGTGCAATCGGTCTTGTAATAAGACTGGTAGTGAGATCGATAATCAAATCGATAGCAATATTGATAGTGATATTGATGGTCAGATCGATCGGGATATCGATAGTGAGATCCATTGAATGAGACGTTGGTTCCTCAAAAAAACCTCCTTATCACCCAGAGGGTGGTCGTATAGGTACGTATATGCTTAAAGCCCCACCTCCCCATCATGTGTTTGCCAACTGGTCACTTACTAGAGGGCGGCTCAATTGCGGGACCAGGGGCCTGTCGGCGTGTGTGAGGGGCTTTTCCGTTCGAGCCGTCATCTCCGTCATTCTTTGTAATCGTCGTCTCTGTCGTTCCCTTTCCCTGGTACCCCTCTTCCCCTGGGCTCCTCCCCGCTCCCCTCACCCTTTCCCAGGGCCTCCTCCTCAAGCGCGCTAGCCAAACCGACCTTCAGCAACGTCGTAATTGATTCGAAGGGAAGCCCCTTCCCTTTAATCTCTCCCCCGCCGGGAGGGGGAGGGAGGGTCTTTCCCAGGGCCTCCTCCTCAAGCGCGCCAGCCAAACCGACCTTGAGCAACGTCGTAATTGAGTCGAAGGGAAGCCCCTTCCCTTTCCCTTCCCCGACGGGGGGGGGAGGGGGGGTCCCGGGGGGGGTCCCGGGGGAGTCCCGGGGAAGTCCCGGGTCAGATACGACGCCCCCCCCGTAAGTACTCCACGTAAGGATTCTTTCTTGTTTCAGGCCGCGCCCGAGCCGCCCGAGCCGCCCCCGAGCCGCGCCCGAGGAGGAGAGCGCCTCAGAGAGCCCCCCTCTGTTCCCCCTGGCCACACGGGGGGGAGCCCCCCCTTTACTCCCCCTGTCCTTCCTGTCCACAGGAAGAGAGCGCCCCGCGCCCCGCGCCTTTCCCCCCTCTCCCCCGTCCCCCCTCTGTTCCCCCTGTCCACAGCCCCCTCTGTTCCCCCTGTCCACACGGGGGGGAGCCTTCCCTTTCCTCCCCCTGTCCTTCCTTTCCACAGGAAGAGAGCGCCCCACGCCCCGCGCCTTTCCCCCCTTTACCATCCCACAGCCCGTGCCTCTTGCTGCGCATTGCGAACAAGGTCGGCGGCACCGGCCGTAAGGCCTTCGCAATAAAAATTGTACTGGACGCGTGATTGGTAATCTGTTCGCAAGCACAAACTTCGCGACATACGATTGGGGGCGCCAGTCGTAACAGAGTCACAGGGGGCCAATCTTAATGGCGAACAACATGCAGAGAGGCAAGAAACATCGGGAGCCACAATGAAATTACGAGGTCTTGATTCCCGGGCATAGGGCGGGCTCCGCTAAGCCGCAAGTTTTGCGAGATCGACGGGAAGCGGCCCATGGGACTGGACGTCGGCGGTGGGGAGGACGGGCAGCCGCTGTGTCGCGAAAACGGGCCACGTACAGACCGGCACTTAGCGGCGGGGGCGTGGTGCAAGCCTGGTGCAACCGTCGCCGCTTTCTCCGTGCACCCCGCTCCGCTGGCTACGTGTACCTCTTTACGTGCTCCGTTTTGCGCGGATGTCGCAGGCGAAACCAGCACGAGCAGAAGTACATTCAAATGGTATCCAAGTGTTCGTCCATACGTGCTGGATGCTTCTGGCAGGGCAAGCACGTACAGACTTGCACTTAGCGACGGGGGCGGGTTACAGGTCTGGGCGCCGCCGCGCCCCCCAGCAGAGTCAGGGGACGGCGGCCGCTGAAACTCTTGCCCCGAGCGCTCCGCTACACCCCACGAGGCCACCCGTGCAAGGCTTACCCCGCACTCCTTACATCTTTCATTTGCGAGGCCGCAGGCTTGACTCAAGACCGCCTCTGGCTAGCGAAATCAATGCTCCAGCAATTCCGACAGGCGCAACCGCCAGCCTCGAATCGCGGGTGCGAGAACGCACGAAATGATAGCCCAGGCTTTAGTTTGCATTGTTCTGACTCCACATAGAAATCAGACCCAATTGCCCAATCTGTACTTCTATAGATGTTCGGTTCATTGAATTCCCACTCTTGCTTTGCATGATTATCATCCCTCCCCCAATCCCTCTCGCGCTCCCGCTCCTCCTCCTCCTCCTCCTCTTCCTCCTCCTTCGCTTCCTCCTCCTCCTCCACCTTGTCCTCCCGATCCTCCTCCTCCCCTTTCCCTGCTGCCTCCTCTACCTCCTCTTGGCCGGCGGCGCCAAGCTGCGCTGCAAAGCGCTGACCACCTGCACGCTGCTGGGGGAGCACGACGAACAAACGGCCTCCCCACCGCGCTCTCCCGAGGGGCCGAGGAGGAGCGGACCAGAGCGGAGCGGCGGCCAAACATCCGTCCCGCGGGGCGGCTCCACGGAGCGCCGCGCGCACGGAGAGCCAGGACGGCATCGCAGAGCGAAGCGGTGAAACAGTGAAACGTCATGCAGCATGGCAGCGACGACGAGGGAGAAAGGCCGAAGCGAGAGGCTGAAGAGAAGGCTCGAGGCTCGAGGCCATGTTCGTTGCGCGTGTTCGGCCCTTCGTGGGCCTTCGGGGGTTGCAGAAGCCTTACGACACCACGAGAGACCTCTGGAGGCGCCCGAAGATGGAAGGAGGAGAAAGAAGAGGGGGAGGAAGACACAGGGGGCAACAAAGAGGAGGCAAGGGAAGAACACAGTGGAGGAGGGATGACGACAGAGGACTAGCGAAGAGGATGGGGAAACGAAGACGACAACAATAATCCCAGATAATCCCACGATGCCGCAAAGATGCGGCTAGTCCCCCCGAACTCCCTCCTCTTCATTCCACACAGCCTACACGCATGAATGTCCAATGAAGGAAACGTCCTCTTGAAAGGCGGGCACTCGATGGCCACTGGGCCTGCAATTCAAGCTGAAGGCCCACCTATGAGAATGCAAGGGTGAACATCGCAAACACAGAACACCAAGGAAGTGCCCAGCGATAGATGACTCCTGCGGAAAAAGGCGGAACTATAGAGAGAGAGAGATGTCGAGAGAGAGAAATAGGAGAAAGAGAGAGAGAGAGAGAGAGAGTGTGATAAGGTAATAACAACAACACGACCAATCAAACAAACACGAAAGAGAGAGAGAGAGAGAGAGAGACGGAGGGATGGAGAGAAAAAAATGAGAGAGAGGTAGCATAGAGGAATATATATATATATATGTATATACATGGTATGTGTGTGATAGAGATGGAGACTCACGGAGAAGAGAGACAAGCATCAAGAGCAAGCCAAAGAGAAAACAACCCTCCCCTCAGACGCCCCAGAAGACTTCCAAGAAACTTCCCAACAGGACCCTAAAGGGCAAGAAACAGTGATTTCCCTAGAAAGTTTCTGAAAGCTTTCGACGTTCTCGCCTGTTCGGCATTCTCACACTCCAAGACGGCCCAAGAGGCCCCCAAGACCGCCCCAAGGCGGCCCCAAAAACCCCAAGACGGGCCCGAAGACAGCCCAAGAGCTCCCCAAAACGGAACAACAACCGCCCAAGATAGCCCAACAGGGGCCCAAGACGGCAGCAACATGAGCCCAAGAGAGGGAACACGAACCACAAGTCTAAGCCCTCCGCTCAAAGAGGCCCCCAGGAGGCTCCAAGAGGCGCCCATGTGGCCCCGGGGGGGCCCCCAAGAGGCCCCCAAGAAGCTCCAAAAGGCCCCCATGAGGCCCCAAAAAACATCCCAGATGCCCAAAAGAGGCACCAGTAGGCCCCAAAGACCGCCCCCAAGAGGCATCCAAACTGCCCCAAGATGCCCCCCGAGAAGCCCCCCCACGAGATTTCAACGAACATCCAATAAGCTTCAAGCCCGCAGTCCAGGCGCCGTGGCGGATGGGCCGAAGGTCATCAGATGGTCATCATCATCACCATGGCGCGACATTATCAGCCGCAGCACGATCAACGGCAACCACACCCACATCCCATCATATCGTAGAAACCACCACCACCATTTCATCATCATCATCATCATCATCATCATCATCATCATCATCATCATCATCATCATCCTCCTCATCATCCTCATCCTCATCAGCAAGGACATCAACATCGACATCACCATCAACATCACCATCATCATCATCATCATGATACGCTGTTTCGTTAGGCGGAGAACCGAGTTCTAATAACGACGGCTCGCTGCGATAAGCGAGCTGCTCCTCCAGAGCTCTGGGACAACGGGGCCGAAGAGGCCTCGCTCAGAGGGAGCCGAAAACAGTCAGAAGAACCCCCCCCCGCCGCGCGGGAGCCCCCCTCCAGGGTTGGGCGGGCTGGGGGAACCGAGATGGGCTGCGGTCGCAATGCTCCTTGCTAATCGTTGGCAGACGACACCCCGCTCCCCGCTTAATCATATCCGTGCACGCACCCCATGATACGCTGTTTCGTTAGGCGGAGAACCGAGTTCTAAGAACGACGGCTCGATGCGATAAGCGAGCTGCTCCTCCAGAGCTCTGGGACAAAGGGGGCCGAAGAGGCCCCGCTCAGAGGGAACCGAAGACAGTCAGAAGAAACTCTCCGCCGCGCGGGGGCCCCCCTGCCCCCTACACAGGGTTAGCATTATAGATAAGGGCTCTCGCGAGGGACTGGAGGGAGTGAGTGTGCGCGTGGTTTAAAGGTGCTGGGCGTTTCAGCGAATAGCTAGTGTGGCTCACCCCGAATCTATCTCTGCCCCGTAGGCGGATAGGAGGGACGCCAGTCCTATCACAAATGCCTGTGCAGCTGCCACAAGTACGGGACAGCATCGATCTGTCTTCGGGCTCGGTGCCAACGCGCATGTATATACAACGGTGTCTCCAGGAGGCCCCGAACGTGCATCTGTCACTGGCAACTTTAGTCACGAAGCTTTCTGCCACCTCGAGTTGGCTCAGAAGATGTGGCCAGAGCCGGCTACCCTGGTGTATCTCCAGGAGGAGCGGCGCTCGAGCTTGCCAGGCAGCGGCAATGAGACGCTTCAAACGCTCCGCAAACCTTCTTAGACGGTGGTGGCCTACTAGCCTCCCTGTAGCTTTGCTCGCTGACGGCAGCGCGGGCGACAGGAAAAGCACGGCCACCTCGCCACGCCGAATGTGCGCCTGGACGCGGCGCTCCAGTGGCGAGCCCAGCCGCTCGTCACAGAGGGCGTCGCCTCGCCACATCCAGGTGGGCACCCCACTCTCGGCGAGGCCCGACCCGATCATGGCCAGCTCGTCTCCGATCAGGAGCGCTTTGTACCGCTTGCCCCCGCGCCAGGGCGCGCTCCAGCTCGCGCAGGCACTGCTCGCCGTGCGCCTCCAGCATCGGCCCGTGCATCTGCGCGCGCTGCCCGAGGCGCGCGCTCTTCTCGTAGCGCGCCATGTTCTTCAACTGGCGCCAGCCTCCTCGCCGCTGCACCTCCGCCTGCGTCCTCTCGCCTCTGGCGCGGTCGATGCTGGCGCCCGAGTGCCGCGCCGGATGCGGCGTGACGGGCCGCAGCTGCAACATGCGGCAGGCGGCCTTCATCTCGCGCAGCAGCTCGGGGTAGTCGAACTCCCACACAGGCTTTCGTGGATCGAGCATCTGCATCTCGCTCAGGACTGGCCCGATCCACCGAAGCCACGAGGAGTCCAGCCTCGCGCTCAAGTCGAACTCTCCCACCTTGTCGGGCGTCGCTCGCTCCTGGGGGTGCACGAGGAGCCCCCGGCGCTGGCTGCCACCTCCGGGCTTCACTATGTCGCCAGGGCGCAGACGGAACAGGGGCGACGGCCTGAGGTAGGTAGACACAGCCAGCGCCAAGAACGCCGCCATCATCCGTCGTCCCCGCAACACCAGCACATGCATAAGGGCACGCCAGATGTTCAGCGGCTCGGGCATCCTGGCTCTCCCAGGCGTCCGCCGCTTCCATCCCTTCAGCGCCTTCCACATCCGCGGTAGTGTGTCCGCTCCCAAGCGCCCAAACCTCGGATAGAAATGATTCACAGCCGCCGCGGCATACATCCCCGTCGAGGCCTGCTCGCCCAGCAGGTACAGCGAGGTGAAGTAGTGGACCAGGCAGGCGTCCATCGTCTCCGCTGGCATCTCGAAAAAGTCCTGGCGGCCACACCCCTGCTTCAACTGCTCGAGCACTCTCTGGTACTGGGCCCTCACCCGCGGCGTCGCCGTGCTCGACTCCAGGTATCGGTCGAGCGGCACCCCGTCCTCGATCGCACGAGCCACCGCGTGGTGCCGCCTCTTCACACGCCTCACCAGCGTCCTCTGCCGCTTGAGCTCGACGGCGGCCTCGGACTCGCTGGTAGTGCCGCTCGAGCTCTCCCCAGCTGACCGAGCCCGCTTTCCAGTGACGCGCCTTCGGGTGACGGCAAGTTGTGCCTCCGCCGCCGACTCCAGGCACTGCGCTGGCGAGCGACCCGCTGGCGCTGGCGGCCCTCGGCCCTCCAACGGGGCTCCGCTCGCGCCTCGAGCTCTCTCCCGCGTGAGCACCCTCGGCCGAGACGCCGGCGATGGCTCTGCGGCTGGGGAAGGGCCCGTCGCGGTCGGCCGAGCTCTCGGCGGCGTCCGAGGCATCCACAACGGCCTGAGCCAAAACGGCTACGGAGAGAGACCGGGACGCGGGGGCCCCACGGGACCCAGAGGAGCAGGGAGCCCCGAGGACGAGAGAGGAGGGGTGACGGCGATGCACGTTTGTTTCCAAAGCTCTTGCCTGGTGCACCGAAGCGGGGCTACTCGATTGCTCACATTCTGCATGGCAGCAACTAGAACCGACTGGCATAAGAACTGACTCAGGTTCAGCACGCCGACAGCTTAAGGGGGCCGAACGGCGTGCACGGACAGGGGGGGGGGGTCGTCGCCAACTATACTAGTCGACTCCTCCTCGTCCCTGAGACTCGACTCACGAGAAAGAGAAAAGGCAGGTAGAGAGACAGGAATCAAACGCGTTAGAATATTGGATGGCTCGCCACCGTCGGCCCGCGAGCCTTCGTCACTATTGTTAAGCTCACTTGGGGCCCAGCGGACGATCGCCCTAAGGTTTCGACTTAAAAGATAAGCAGCGAACTTACGAATCTGTCGCAATATCGCGAAGCTACGACACCTACACCTGTCAAACGCTAGTGCTACACCTAGGCTATCGACTAACAAGATCTGCCTGGCATTGAGGCCGAAGCGAGTGAGTGCAATACGCCTCAGAGATTTCGCGAGGGCCCTGGACTCTAACATGCCAATGTCTGTAACTCCACGCCCCCTGGCCTACGTTACGCCAAAGCTGATGAGACAGGAGAGAGCTGGGCACCTCACAGAACTCGGGGTCCATCTCGTAGTCGCCC